GGGGGATCTAGGGCTTCAGCTGAATATGTAAAAGTGGAGGGCCCTGCTGGGCATAGGTGGAAGAAGAGAACCTTGACCTCATGAAGGCTGGATGCCCCAGGGGGTGGGAATTTTGAGGGTGGGGAGGTGGGAGTGGGGGGGTGTAGATAGAGGTTTCATCCACAGAGAAGAAGGAGGAGGGGCGAGGGGATTGGGGGTTCCGAGGGGGTGGTGGGGGATGGGGTAAGGGGACAACATAGGAAATGTAAATAAATCATCCAATAAAAAAAAAAAAAAAACCAAGGGAATGTAAGGCCAAGCACCACTGGCTGTGGTGGCACACACCTTTAATACCCGAACTCTAGGAGGCAGAGGCAAGTAAATACCTATGAATTCCAGGCCATCCTTTTCTACCCAGGGAGTTCTAGGAAAGCTGGGGCTACATACTAACACTTTGTTTCCAAAAAATGAAGAAATATAAAAGTAAAGAAAGTTAACTACAAAGTAGCACTAGCAAGGCAGCTCTGCAGTTTAAAGAGTATCCTCTACAGTTTCCTGCATCAAACTTCATATCCCATATTGATAAATTTCTCTGAGCTCAAATTTTATCAGAGGCACTCTGAGTAGGAATGATACAAAAAAGTAGGTTGGATTCAAATTACCCTCCAGGACTGGGAGCATAGCTTAGTGGTAGTGTGCATACTAAGCGTGTATGAAGCCCTGCATTCAACCTCCAGCGCCACAAAAAAGGGAAGCCCAACTTTCAATATTTATTGAACATCTGTCTTCTATTTGGGCCATACGAGAATTTCTCTGTGAAAGCAGGTTTCCTTGCTGACATTCTCTGACCACAGTGGCATAGCACATAGACACTGAATAGGCTTAAACCAGATAAGTGGAACAAATGAGGAGCTCTTAATTCTTGCCATGGTTCTTTTTACCTCCCAAAGAGGATACTACTATTACCTTGAGTAGAAAGGACAATGGCACAGAAAGTTACCATTGTTTGCAATTTATATTTTCATTCAGTGTGTGTTGTTTACAAAGTAAGGAAAAGTAAAAGGACAGGGTGGGGGAAGAAAAGAAAAGGGTTTGCAACTAAGACTTACCTCAGCTATCTTAATTTCCAGTCTAAGCACTGACTTCATGTCATGTTCAGCTCGAGAGCTATTAGCGCCTAAAAGCACAGCAGTGTCCACCATGAATTTGTAAAGGGCATCCCGATACTGTAGGAGATAAAGAAGCAAGTGTCCATGACAACAGCCTGGTAGGAAGTATGGTTTAGAGATGTGGAAGAGCAGAAACAGTAGGTGGAAATCAGCTTTCTTCATTTTCACTTTGTACTCAGAGTATGAAACCAGCATTATGCAATGCCAACCACCTACCTGCCACTTTGAGAGGAAAAATAAGAGTGATGAGTGCATGGGTACTATTTCTGTGACAGGCATCAAACACCAAGCAAACTAGTTTTCTGGTAACTGGTGATATTATGGATAAAAGAAACATCTCCAAATGAGTCCAGAATAGAAAGGTAAAGGTCAGGTGTCTCCTTCCCAGGCAAGTGATGCTTTAATAAAGTAATGGGAAAGAACTGTTTCTAAAAGCCGAGGACCTGATCCATGAACACTAATGCGAAGTGTGATTTATTCCAATCCAGCTCCATTTACTAAGAAATAAAAAAGATGATTACAGTGATTGGAGTCCTGTGTCTTTTCAGTTTCAGTTTCCAGAGAGTTCTCATCCCTGGCTCAGGTGGGGGAAGGAGAAATGATAATAAGAAACTATCAAATATAGTTTCATCTCTAAGGTACACCATGACCCTGCAAGCTATTCTTACTGTGTGGCTGACCTTAAGACCTATATGTTTCCTGGTAGATAGCCAGCCTTTTAATAAATGAAATTCAGTCAGCAAGCCTTACTAATAGCCTTAATTGGAGAGAATGTTTTGCCCTTCCCAAGTCGACTGAAAAAGTGTTCAGCTAGCTCAGTACACAAGGTGGCTTGCTAGGCAAGCTGGGTATATGATGGGGAAAGACATACAAATAAAAAAACTAAATAATTTGTTATATATAAGTGTGAATCTATTTATAAGTGTGCGCTCTAGTGATGCAGACAAACATGTAATAGCTATAACATGAGGCAAGCAAAAAAAGGTTTCATAATAAAGCCACTACATACATGAAAGCTGAAGAATTAAAGGATTCCAGCTCAGAAAACTTGGAGACATTCCATTTGAGGGACATGGGGTTTGAGAACAGTAAGAGAAGGGTCCTTCTGTTGAAGGAAGAATAAAAACAGGTGAGTTAGGAGAAAGAGGCTGAAAGCAAGCAATGAATAATCCTTGAACTTCTTCAGAGGAATTTACACTCTATCTTGAGAGCAAGACGTACTGGGGGTCGTGGTGTGGCCACAGAATTTGCCAAGTGATGCTAAAGGTCTGTTGAAGCTACGGTGGTTACAGCTGAATAATGGTTGTAGTTAAGGCAAGAGTGGACAGAAGTGTGATCTAGGACAGTAGCGATGGAAGGAGGGCAGGTGCTTGGAGAAATAATTCCTTGTAAAGGACTTGGATTAACTATTTATAGGGAGAGGGGATGATCTTAAGTCTGGTTCCTGAGACCACAGCAGAAGCAAAGGTTCCCTAGTCTGGCAAAAGGTTGACTCAAGAAGGAAAACTTGGCAATCTCCTTTAATGAGTATCCTCTGCCTGAAAGATGCCTAAGATCTGGGCTAGTTTGCAAGCATTCTCCATATAGAGGTTATTAGTACAGACTCAGGAAACCTGGGTGTGACTTGAGAGGCTTGTTTGAAGAGTTAACAAAATTTTCAATGTGAATTCAAATTGTCAAAATGAACTAGCCCTGTCCAGTGTCCAGGAAACTACCCTGTTTCCAAGCTAAGTCTAGAATTCTAACCTGATCAATCCTTTCTGTTTCTCATTACCCAACATTAACCCAAAGCACATGCTAAAAATAGAGTGCCAGCCCCTATCTTGTCTGATAAATCAGAATCACCATCGCTTGAGCCATGATATTTAACTACAACCATTCATGATATTTCCAAGGTTATATTTTAAGCCAGAACAGCTTTGAATGTTTTTCAGTTTGGCAAATGGTAGTGAATGATTTACACTCCTGAGGACTGACTGTTAGCTCATATCTTGGCTACTTCATGAGGGCAATAAACAGGCAATTTATACAACCTGTTTCTACAAAAGGAAGTAGAATTGTATGCCTAAACCAGTGGTTCTCAACCTTCCTAACACTAAGATCCCTTAATACAGTTAGTTCCTCACATTGTAATGACCTTCAGTCATAAAATTTCATTACTACTTTATAACTTTAATTTTGCTACTGTTATGAATCATAATGTAAATATCTGATATGCAGGAAATCTGCCATGTGACCTCCAAAAGGGTCATGACCCACAGGTTGAAAATTACATACCTTCAGTAAAAGAGGATGTACCTAATCTGGCAGAGACTTGATATGCCAGAGTAGTGGAATACCCAGAGGGAGGGCCACCTTCTCAGAGGAGAAGCAGAGGGGGAGAAGGACTCTGTGAGGGAGGGACCAGGAGGGGGAAAAGTATTTGGGATGTAAATAAATAAATTATAGCCCCAACATAGAAAACGAAATAAAGGAAGGAAGGAAGGAAGGAAAGAAAGAAGGGAAGGAGGGAGGGAGGGAGGGAGGGAAGAGAAGAGGAAGGAACGAAATGGGGAAAGAGAGAAAGAGAGAAAGAGAGAGAGAGAGAGAGAGAAAGAGAGAGAGAGAGAGAGAGAGAGAGAGAGAGAGAGAGAGAGAGAGAAAACTACTTGCCTAAACACAAGGTCTCTGCTTGCTGTACTGGGAATGTGCTCAGTAAAGTTATGATGCTTATTTCCAGGAAAGAAGCAGGCATTTTAAAGCAATTGATGAACCAAAGAGTAGCCAGACAAGACATGTACTTGAACATGAGTAAAACTTACAGATTTGGCTTCAGTAGTGTTATCCAGGAAGTCTTCCCTCACAGCTAGAGAGAGTGTTGCTTGGTCCAGCTGTTAAAACAAAACCAGAAAGCATGGTATTGACATTTTTAAATTCTTATGTACCATGTTAACAAGGGTCACAGGCTCATTGGCAGCCCAGCCATATTTTGAGTTTGTGTCACTATCACAAGAAATAAGTTTACTCCATTCAGAACTGCATGCAAATAGGCATTTTGATAGACTTAACATAATAGAGACTCTCCCTTCTTTTCTGATTTGTGCTTTCTGTCTTTGAGATTTCACCAACACTGAAGAGTCTTAAGGCTACTTGAGTTGGAAGAGATATCAGAGGTTATCTGGCAAAAGCCAAAGAAATTATTATTTTCCCAAGGTCACATGACTGGACAGAGCTCATAGTAAAACCACCTTCTCTTACCAGATCCAATAGGCATTATCACTGTTGTGCTCATCTGTTTGGGCCTGATGCATTAGACTTTATACCTCCCTATCTCAAAAGAATGGATTGTTTTAACTCAAAAAGAACCAACTGATATTTCTGAATACACTTTGTGACTTTTAGAATCTTCTCTGCATAGTTAAGAATAGATGAAAAAAACACAAATAGTAATCAGATTTTAATCTCAAGTATTTTCATCCATTTTTCATAAGTAAAATCTATGTAAAATTATAGTTTTCCCTGAAAATTTCTTTCACATGCAGCAAAGTCTAAAAAAGCCAAGTTATGGTGGTGCTGTTATAAAATTTAAGGGAATACTGGTGGTGTTTTTTGTGAGCAAAGTGTATTCAAAACGTCCGTGTAGCCCGTGTATATTGCTAATTGGCCTAAAACAACAAAGTCACAAGCCATCTTGGCTTGAGCCTACTGCAATTCCCAAACAGCAATTGTTTCTTCCAAAAATTAAGTAAGCCAGAATCATAAAACAAAATATTTTGATTAAGATGCTTTGGCCTTAGCCTCACAATGTCTTGAAGTGCCAGGGTGGGGGCATAACCAGGGGGCCCCCACCCACTCAGAGGAGAAGGGGGTAAGGGGGAAGGATTACGGGAAGTAGTGATGGGGGAGGAGGAGTTAGTGAGCTGGATGTAAAGTCAATAATTAAAAAGCAATAAATTTAGTTTTAAAAAAAGATGCTTTGGCTTTCAATTAAATTTGGACCATTCAGTGACTATTGTGAACTTCAGTCTCAGAAGAAAGGAAAATACACAGATAATAATATCAAGAAAGTCACAGCTTCTTCTCATGAAATGAGGTTAAACCTATGTAAGGTGAAAGTTTGGATAATTCAACTGAGGTTACCAGACCTTTTATAAACCTTCAGATTGTTATGGTTTCTAGAGAATATTTTAAATATACTAGTAATGGATTGAATAAGGTCAGTCAACTAAATTTCAATAGAAACACACAAACTCCTGAGGCAAAGTCTTTCTCAAGAAATCCATACAAGTACATCATATTTTCTGGTTTTTAAAAGTCCTTGTATTTACAATTGATATAAATGTTTCCATTTCAAAAGAGAAGAAAATGTCCATTCCAGCACTTGAGAAGTACATGGACTGGCAGTTCAGATCAGTTTGGGCTACAGAGTGGGTTACAGAGTGTTTTTAAAACTAGTCTGGGCTATGGATTTTTTTTTTTTTAGTGATTTTATGAAATCAGATATATTGAACTGAAGATATAATTTTTGTCTAATTATAATTGATATTCCAATATCAATTAGAATAAACTGTTCAGAGAGGAAGAAATAATACAAAGAGAAACATCTGAAAATTATGCTATAGGAAAGGGAAAAAAAACTACAGAAACTCCATTTCTAAGAGAATTTCTGATTAAAATCATGAGTTTTGCTGAAAGCCAGAAAAATGCAGGCCATGGAATAGCAATGGCTTTGAGTCATCTTACACTAGAACAGCCCTGACCATCCAAACAGTCTTTTGAGACCACACATCCCACTATTTCATAGTCCCTTAAATCCTCATTCTTACTCTCACCAGAACTAAAAGAAAAAGAAGTACATGTAGCAAGGTGATGCTTTAAAACTTGTCTTTCTGTTGTTTCTTGTAATTTTATCTCCCATTGAAATCCACATCAAATCTCTATCATCTTGACACAGAGAGCATTGCCAATGGCCAATGTGTGGATCAACCTGAATATCTTGAGGATGGAGATATATCTGCCCACTGAAAGGAGTACATCTTTCTATAGCCAGAGATTTGCTCATCTAATGCTAAAGTGGGTAAATGTTCAAGGTCAAATATTAGGCTAAGGAAAATGCCTGAGTCTACAACCAAATCATAGGCCAAACAGGCATGCCAACTACTCAAATTCAAACAAAGCATTGTTCAAATGCTCCTGGCCAGCTGATGGGCCATGTTTCAAGAGAAGAGAGCCTTTTGTCATATGCCATTGTTGACCAGTATCTATTGTAGAAACTCACAAAATTCAAGTGATCTAAACCAAATAGCAACAATGACAAGCAAATGATAATTTAATCTTCCTTGCCCATAAATAAAAATGAGACTCAAGAGAGTTGAACTAACACACATAGATGATAGGAAATTCACAAATCTAAACTGAAAACTTCAAGATCCTTGACACCAAAGCCAACTCTTATCATCACACAAGTGGTTTTCAAAATATGTGTTTAACAATTATAGTTTTACACACAATTTATTAATGTGTGTGTGTACACAAGCATGCATGGTATACATGTGGAGGTCAGAGGACAACTTACAGAAAAGAGTTCTCTCCTCCCAGCCAGTGGGTAACATGCATTGAACTTATCACATCACCAGGCTTGTCAGAAAGCACTTTTACCTGCTGAACCTTTTCATGGGCCCCTAAAAACTTAAAACTAACAAAACAGCCAATGCATACACACAAGTTGTAGAATTTTGGAAGCCACTAATCCACAAATGTTTCTGTCGGGTTCATTAGGTTTCACACAGATCTCAGAGCAAAGTTATTCCTGTCATATCTAGACACATATCTAGATGCAATTTCATGACTATGGAAACTGTAGATCTTTGTAGTTCTGGGGAGGAGGTTAATTCAGATATGTGAACATTCACTCACATAGTTTGGTACAAACAGGGATAGAAAAGCCAATGTGAGCTGCACTCAAATGCCAAGCAGTGCTTAAACACTTCAGTTTAGAACAAGCTGCCATCTTGGCAAAAGAAAGCAATAATAAGTACACAAGTGCCTCCTCACATTTGGAAAGGATTCTATTATTGACAGTGTTTCTGGGACGAGTGTAATTGAATACTAAGTGTGCAAGGCAAGCTGTTACCATGGTCTTCTGTTTCCCTTATCTTTCTCTAAATTGGCATTAAAGGTGGACTCAAACTAGTTTTAAGGGTTTTGGTTTTTTGTTTCAGTGTTTTTGCCACAATGTTTTTGGTGATGGTGTATTACTCCTGACTGATATCGGGAGGCATACGATATCGGTTTTTCTCATTTCTAACAATGCTTTCATTGATAGTTGAGTTGTAGTGACATCATTGTGTGAATTTCCCAAATGTTCTCCTGACCATCTTAGTAGCTATTGATAGATCCTAAATCCATTGGCTCTTTGATGATTTAAGTAATGGTTATCTAACTCTTTATTTCTGTTGACTTTTTTATTTTAATTATGTATATGTGAGATAGAGAGATAGCTCAGTGGTTAAGAGCACATAGTGTTTTGCTTTTTTAGAAGACCTAAATTCAATTCAGTTCCCAGGATCCATGTTGGTGGCTCAAAACTACCTACAACTCCAGCTCCGAGCATCTTCACTCACATCATCTCTCTATATCCCTCAAACACACACACACACACACACACACACAC